TTTTATTATATTATATTCTTCGCGTTTCGTATTCGTTTGTGTTCGTACCTATATACTTATTACGTATTACATAGTGCTATGTTCCGGCCGTACGACGGACACGTCGAGAAACGAATTCAATCCTATTCCGTTATATACCTATAATGATATTTTATGTATATATATATATCAGCTATATATAACTATATAAGTATGCGTCGTGTCTGAAAATGGTCTTAAATACTTTCACATTTACGTAGGCAGTATGCACAAATATATAATATTTACACACAACACATTTTACGTCGGCGGCGAGTATTGTAGTGTCTCGTTTAAAAAAACACAAACATGGACAGGCACTAACGATAGTCTATATACTTATATAGCATCTTAATTATAATGGTCTATAAATAATGTTATTGGTATTATGTTTGATATTGAAACATTATTACCTATTATCATTATTGGCATTCGTGATACGGGTATTGTATACGGATCAACTAATTTATTAAGAACTGTTAGTTGATCCACAGCATTAAGTATGATGTACATTTGTATATCGGTAAGGCATTGTTGAAATGTATACGTATTGTACCTCACTATGGTTACATTTGTACGTACAAATCAACATTTACAAGACACGTAACATGATATTATGGCTTAATGCTTAATGTTTTGACAAATACCTATACACTTTATGGGTATCTGTATCCATTAAAAAAATAAAATGCAGTAAGCATTTCTTAATTACTTTCTGACCTTTGCTGCTATAATTTAATAACACGTGACGATTAACAAAAGTTCATAAGAAAAATTCAGTTTTCAAAAAATTTTCATCTTAAGAATTAGTTGAAATTTAGCGTGATGCAGTGTATTTTATTGTATTTGGTCCTTACAGAAGATCAATTACGTTTTAATTGATTTACAATTATTTAAATGTCTCATTTAATCTGCAGGAATAAGGTGGTAGAACGCCTTATCATTKTATCATTGTTTTATGTATATCCGTGGTGGCGAAAAGGTATCGCCAAGCATTCTCACTATCTAGAGTCAATTGGTGGTCTAGAAATAAAGTGGGTATTTGACTCATTCTAATTTTAAAAGCACCCGACGGGCAGGTTGTTTGTGTTAAATCCATGTGATTCAAAATTTTTTTTCCCACATATTTCAACTATGTTTTAAAGATCAGTTAAACAGTATATACCTACACATTATATAGTTATATTATTAATTATTATGATGTTATTATTATGGATGTAATCATCATGACATCATGATATATACATCATAATATTAATACAAATCATTAATTGCATATTAATTAATGTCAAATGACTAAAATGTGTTGTACTTAGGCTTAAAAATATAAAAATTCATGTAGGTATTAGCTGTATCTTCTTCAACCAATGGGAAGAGCATCCTGCCTTAAATCAAAGACAAAAAGATTTTAAGTACGACAGGCATTAATTTTTTTTATAAGAGTTGGTTACGATTTTTCCTCTTATTATAAAACTTATTGAAATTACGCCACTGTTCATTCATATCTTCATTACTAGCTTTCATTATTATTATTATTATCATCACCTGCGTCTGAAATTCGAATAGAAAACTATCGTTGTCGAATGTATGAGAACGACGAATGAACGCGCTTCCGAACTCTGATACAGAGGTATTGTTAGCGATTATTATAATATATTATTTCGTCTGCAAATGAACTACACCGACAACTGTACACTTTCCGTATCTTTCGACGGGATCTACCCAATTATTATTATAACCTATATTATAATAGATGAGATGTATATTGTGTATATATATTATTTAAAGCACGTTGTTCGAGTTCGAAGGGCACATTGCTATCTGTGAGAAAGTAGTTTTATAGTTCGATTATTATTATTGTTATTATTTTGCTATGTGACGTTTTCACGATGCGCGCACCTTTCGCTCGGCGTTTGATTTGTATAGAATAATAATAATTAAATGGGTTTGTTGTGTATATTTCTTGAATCAACTCTCGTGACGACGTCTATTGTAATTACCACGAAGCGATAAAAGGCAAAGCCGGTCGAAGTCATTTCGGGGGCGCGGGCGTCTGTATTTTTGGGTCTATAATAACACAAYAATCGTATCCTAGTTTATAAATAACAATAAAAAAATTGTTTATTACGCTCACCACTTGCTTAAATATGTATAATATATATTTGCATACTATAAAAATATAAACTCATTGATCGTATCGGGGGAAAAAACTAGTTTTGTAGAATATTTTCTTCCTCTTTCTCAGCGCTCTTCATCATCTTCTCCGAGCCTAGGCGATAATGCAGTATCCCTTGATGCCTACGCTTTACAGTTTATCTACGTTTATCTATAACTGCCAATAAATAGTGGGTATACTCCCAGGCATATAATACTCGCATAGTCACATCCATTGTGGCCACTTTATATAAACACATTTCGACCTTCGATGACTGTCACGAGACAGATGTTACTCTTGGTGTCCATGACCCGATCCTATAAACACAGCATTGSTGTAATGATGATTGTGAACACACACGCACATAGGCATATATATACATAAAAYAGTGTACTATAAAATCGTCGATATTGCGTCAGATATTGATCGTACCAAACCGAATTAGCCAACCGCAGATTTTTTTTTTATCTTATTAGAAATCTTAAAAATCTTCTTTGGATTACAATTTAATGTTATGATGTTTTTTTTTTTTTTTTAAATAAATAAGTTAATTCATTAAAGCACGAATAATATTTCCAAGAAAGATTAAATACAAATTGAGCATCGAATATTATATCCTTCAGGACTTAGTTCTGAAGTATTAATCTTTATCTTTATTTTTATATATATATATTATATATTCAAGTATTTAAGACATATATATACAGTTTTTACTGTATTATTGACTGTAATTAGTAATCCTTTTGAATATATCGATAAGAACTTTTAAAATTAATTTATCACTATGTTCATTAAAGACTGATATTATAGTATTTGTTTTAACTTTATTTTTCATTTATAATAAATGTTAATTTGCTTCTAACCTCATTAATCAACATCAAAACATTGAATTCATTTTTGTAAAAAAATCTCCGATTTTTTATGTGCAGAGTGTAGAACGCTTTAAGTAATTATTATTATATTAGTGATAAATGTATTTTAATATTAAGAACGATACCATTAACTGCGGCCTATGTAAAAATGGTATCGCCAGGAGTAATATAATATAATAACCCAGATGAGGTTCTATAAAATAAATAATCATAAAAATAACATCCGTTATTATAGTACCTCGAGGTGTTTTCAGTGAAATATTATATTATATTTCCCATTTGGACTAAAATCATATCAATATATTATAAATTATTATTATTATTATTCATCGTCATCTCTAAAGCTATATACAGTTGTGTGAAAATAAAATACACACATCAGCTATGTACACTTTACTACGCACAATGGAAATCCATTAAAACATGAATATGTGTATGTGTATGTATACGAGGAGTGAGTTATCGTGTACAGACAGAATATTGCTCGAGGCAAATACTTAATTAGGAATCTTTGTGGCTTTGTACATTGAATTTAATTCGATTTATGAATTTAAAGAAAAAATGTTTCAATAAGTTCCATATGGAATGCACCGTCGCCTGAACGGTAGGGTTCATCTGACACCACATACAAAACCTCGATTTCACGTATTTACGGATAATTTACAGAGTATAATATTAATATTATATATGTATATATTATTATGCATCGCCATATACTCAAATATCAAACGTGAGCATGTGGCCATATATTATGATGTACCTAATAATATAATATTATCTTGTTTTAATTTTCTATTGCGTTCGKCTGCATCATATATTMTATAAAATAATATTATATAATAGTATATAATATAAATTGATGTTTGAGGAACGGTGGAAGGTGTACGGGATTTTCGTCTAAGCATCTTGTTCGGATTGACTGATCACATCGTTTACGTTATTTTTCCGCTAAAATAGAAACTCTACGACTGTCGTAGCGTGCAATCGGCTGTTGCCGTCGATATGGACAAAATCAGAGGGCACCTGTACGTGCTGGACAATGGATACGACAACGTCATCTGTCAACCGAAAATTATCGTTTATGACCTGAAAACTTACAAATGTGTACGTATACGTCATTATAAATATTATCACTGTTTATTAATTATCGGAATAAGATTGCAGGGACGTACGAAAAAAATTAATTCATTAGAATGCATTATTATAGATTAGGTAGTTCTAGCTTTCAGATTTAAACAACATAATGGGAAAAATATACATTATTGGTCAACTGAAAAAAACTTATTTACATATTCCTTCAAAAGCAATACAAAAGTTAGTTACAATTTTTTTTCATCCAAAATGTAATCTTATTTTAGTGATATTATGAATAACCAATGAGAGTTCCAAGTTTCTAATTTATATAMATTTTGAGCAGTGGTAAAGAAAACTAAAATCGATACTATGAAAAACGAATGTGCAAGAAATATTGGACCGTTTTTTTCGTGATTTACAGTTGATTTCTCTAATAAATTATATGAAAACATATAAGAAAATCAAAATTCGATCACTGATTTTTTCCAGAAGAAAAAAAAATGACCTTAAACACATTAAAATCCACAYTATTGTTTAACTAATACATTCCTATCGCTTCTTATTTAGAATTCAAAAATCATAAGTTCCAAAAATTTTGCAGGTGGAGTTATTGGGCACTCGGAATATCATCTCTAATACCCTTATTTTAGCTCATATCCTACTATACATAGTATTATTACCAGATTTTTATTGTTGTTATAATTATTTTCACGCAGATACATACCATAGAACTCGGCGGACTCAATGGCTCGGGACTAGCCACGCTGGTGGTGGATGCTAGACCGTTCAAAGGCGAGACGAGGGTGTAYGCGGGTGACGCGCGTGGTGGACGCATCGCAGTGTACGACCCAGACCGGAGTGTTTGGTATATGGTCGCATTACGCATCCAGAACCGTGGTAACGCGGTTATACAGGACTACTATAGACCGGAAGTCGACCAGGAAGTGCCTGCAGAATGCATCGCCATCTCTAAGCTTCAGTGGTCCGTGTACTTGACGTCGACGCATTCGCACGACTTGTATACGGCTTCGTTCAAGGATCTCCGGAATTTGACCTCTTACGTCACGCCGAGCGTAAAGGTATAAATGCCCGCTTGGCTAACTATATTACGAGCACTCGTCCGTATGGCGACGGAATAAAACGGCCATTGTCGTAAGGGTAAACGCAATACTCGGAAACATGAAATTTTTGGAAGGGTGACTAACATTTGTCGTACATTGTACTTATTTTTGAAATATTTGTGATTTTTTTCGAAAAACTATATTTAARGATCCTTTCATAACGGAGGTCGGTACATAGTACATACTACATACGCATGATAGGATAACTGTARTGATAWTATTTTTTAAGACCTGTAYGTTCGTCTAAATGTTTATAAATGATTACAGAATTACAGATAGATAACCACAACAGACGATTACCATTGATTATATGGTTTAAAATGTAATCGATAAGTTCATCAACCGTTGATTGACTTAAGAAGATTAACGTGTAAAAGAAAGTTTTTCGGATTTTGGCTTTATGTGTCAAATAAAAACTAGGTTAAGAACGTCAAAATAGGGTTTACGTATTCAGCTATAGCTCATGATAAATAAATAACAAAAGCAATTTACAACAATGGAATTATTGACTCGTTTTCATTAATAAAAAAACACTATTCCATTGTTTTAAAGTAATTTATTTATTAAAAATTAAACAGCCTTACAGCAATATTATATCTATATGGTATTAGTGTTAACTATCACCTGACACCTATACTATAATAGATATTTTAAAGAAATCAAATAATGAATTATTGTTATTTTGCGAATTGTTCAGAAAACTCGATGCAATATTTACCGTTATATATTATGTATTAAAAAGTAAGCTATCCCATAAAATGTTATCCCAGTTCTATCGCTTTATTCATTTAACATACCTCCTCTTAAATCCTTTGCTCGACCGTTTAAACCGTCTAAACCTATTTACCTACAATACATCGAGTAAATATATGGGCGCGCTTATTACAACGAAACGCTACACTGTATTTACGCTCGAGCGTTTAATTAAAATTACAACGCGTTAGTTATAATAATTATACCGTATTAATATATAATAATATAATAACTATTTTTCCCCCTTTTAATAGTTTATAATATCCGCAAACGGTGTGTTCGTTTTATTACCGTACACAGGCCATCAAGCGGCGTCTCCGTATTTAATTCGTTGAAATTCTTACGGAAACGCAGTACCTACCTCCAGCCTTCACTATCGTCACTAGTCGAAACAATTTGAGACTAAATTAGAAAATTATTGTCTTCGCTTCAGAATGGCGACGTACTTCCGGTTGGATTGCGAGTGCGCTGGGAAGGCGTCAAGCTGGGCGTTTCGAGCGGGCTGTACGCTGACATACAGGGTGGTCTCAACTACGTGTACACCAGAGATTTCGTGGCAGTCAGGTGAACATTATATGATGTTATCATATATATTCTTATATTGTAATGATTATTATACGCCTGGTAAAATAACTGTGATCTCCAACAGCCCAGCCGGGCCCARCCTCAAAGCGGCAAGAGTGTCTCACACAAYCACACTATATTTAATTCTCACAAAAACTTACATAAAAATATTATACTTAAACTCGTAATGTGATACGGGAATCAATAATTTAATTTTTAAGGTGTCCACTAAAACATTAWATCAATTCTTATCGTCATAATACGCATTGACACAATGTATTTTCAGGTTTTCGAGAAACACAAAACCGAATTAGTGTTTAATACTTMAGACATTGTGATGCATACAAATAATTTACTTAACAAGACACCCCGTATGTTAGGAATATTATTGTAATACACGATGTCATGTGTTTGTATGTTATGGGTAATGTACAATATTATACAATATGCACATTGCAGTCCGGGCAATCGAGTCACATTTCTTATTAAATTTATCATTCCCAATATTTTTTATTTWTATAGGTAGGTTGTGTGTGTTATCTTTTAATAGAAAAACAAACATAAATAAATATATCTATTTGAAAAATTATTACCTTATTATTTTATTCTGAATATTATCTTAAAACAATTACCTATAATAATTATACTCCCTACTAAGTATTGATAGAATAACATTAAACAATATAAATCAATTAATTTTTATTTATTATTTTGTTAGGATTAATTAGAATTGTATTATTGCCTATTCATTTGTTGTTGGTACATAATTAAATTTAAATGGCACTTAGGATTGCAACGTCTGTCTGTTTTACTACAATTGCATTTATTTCTCTTGTAAAGCTGAGTACAGATGCATTATATATAATATAATTAGTTTAATTGTTTTTAAAATATTCATAATAATATGATAAAATTAATAATCATTGTTGTATAAAATTCAAAACATAATAAATATAGGTAAAAATAAAATAATAATTATTAGTAATGTATTGATGAATTTGTTTTATTTTTATCATTAATTTACAATCATTTTAAACAAAAAAAAATAATTTGTTTGAATTCGTGATTCAAAATTCATATTGCCTGATCTATTCCACATTGCCCGTAACATAAATAAATAATTTCTTCAAACCGTCGACTTTTTCTAGTTAACGCATTTATCGTTTTATATTCATATAGGTTGAGTCTGATCCCGGGTGTCACACCGGTTGCAGCGGAAGACCATAAAGTGCTATTGCAGTCGTACGATCTGTTACCAACAGTCACAAAGATTTTCACAGACAACAAGAATTATCTGCAGGTGTGGGCCCTAAACGCTGTGCCAAACGCGGAAAACCGTCACTTGGTCAAAATTAATACTCTCACGTTATAGATGCCGTTATCTCGTATACATTATGATATTATAACATTCTACTCTACACATAGTACCTGCAGGATTTGACAATTTGAACGCGAAATATGGTCAACCCCTTAAGATATGCTCTGTATAAACAAGAAGATTCACCAAGCATGCACACCACCTGACCGTATTTTTTCCTATTTAATAACTAATTTATCAAAATTCTAATTTTTGGGGTATAATGTAGGAACTAGGAAGTACTATATCTAAAGTACTTATGTACTCTTGTGCCATTAGAATAGCGTCCTCTATCGAAACAACAATATAAGCTAATAAGTTTGGTGAGCATACTCGGCGAATCATTCTGTTTATATTATAATATTATATAATATTGATGTTGTATGTGGTTATAGACGACGTTCATAAACTGTAAACATAAAACCTACATATACTTTATTTTTTTATATTATGTCGTTCCACATAAGTATTTAATATAAATTATATTTGTATATAACTATCGCTGTTTACATTATTTGTAAGCTTAGTATAGACTATAGAGATACCACGTGAAACATGGTGATCGATATTCTATTTAACTAAATACGGCAATTAATAAATATTATCCAAATAGACTTTAGGTATCTAGTTTTAAAAGAACAAAATAATAAAATATTAAGTTGTTACGAAAAATAAAATACTAAAATTACTAAGATTTCAAAAGTTTTGTCCACTATTTTCTTCTGTTCATAAATTGAATTGGTCGTAATTTCGAATTGTACAGAGGTTAAGTATGAGTTTTTTTTAATTTCACAATCGGAAAAGCAATATTTTGTTGGTGCGTTATAAAAATATATATTATTGAGTATTGAATAAATAGTTTTTGTTAAGACATACATATATTTAAAGTTTAGGCGAAAAGTTATTGTGGTGCGCACTATAAATTCCGCTCYGCATCTATTTTAAATTTTTATTGATCATCAATTATTTTTCGTAATAAATGTTATGTAGAAATTGGACCTATAGGCTTATAATTATTTTTAATTACCTAAAACATTTAATTAAGAAGCCCACAGAGATTGACGTGTGAAAATGAGTTGAGCTAGGTAAATATTTCATTCCGTATGATATATGTGTGCACATGATACATATTATATTGTGCTGAATGCACAGACTGTGTAGGTAGGTATGTAATAGATATATATTTATATAAATATACTGTAATATATTATCGAGTACGGTAGCATGTTTAGGGGACTCGGGGAACGTAAATTAACTAAATCAAAGGATGTTTTCGTTTTAATTATATGCGAAATGAATACGAATTTAATGTGTTAAGTTTATATGACAAATATGTAAGTGCCAACCTATATATTATATTATAAAACAGTAATACAACATTACACCTATACAGAATATAATAAATATTACGCTATACYTACGAGTAACAGTTGGTATAAAGCGGGCGAGCAGGATAACATCAAATTACATAAAATATTATAACGCATATTTATTATTAACGTCACACATAGTAATATAGTAATAGTATCCATTAAAAGTGGCATATCATCAAAAAATACATATCAATATATTTAAATGTGATTTTTTCAACATCGGTAATCTATAAGAAAATTTAAATACGTACATTTTCACATAGATTACTGTTTTAAATTTAAATACATTTGCCACGGAGAAATGTAATTAAAGTGATAAGAAAMCTCTGTGACACACTGTTCGATGTAACTATAACTTCCACCATGATCTAAGATATATGTATATATCTTAGTTCATGACTTCCACTTATTAGATTTCATATCAATTCACTTGATGTTGTATATTATTTACAATTAGTACATATTTTTTAATGTTTAAAACGATATTATTATCTGTAATATCTAAACGTTGAATGCATTTTTTAAACAAATATATTATTAAGATGCAATTTATTATTTTATTGAATTAAGTATAGTATATTCTTGGATATAAACTCCTATCTTTATGACGACAAAGTCGTAAAAAATGCTCAGTTTCCTTGCTCATTATTCGCAAAATGTTCATTACTTCCGGGTAAAAAAAAATCTTATGGAGATTCTGGAATCCAATAACCCTCCGGATATGCTTATTATGTTAAAGTATAGTAAAATGAAAATCTACTCTTAAATCGTCCATCATAATTATTGGTTAAATTTGGCCTAAAGCCAGGTAATTAGATGTAATAAGATGTAAGTATGTGTCATGTGGGATAGGTGCATAAGATTGGACCTAACTAGCTATAGCTACTTATATTTACTTTTGCTTATATTAAGTTCTTTTAGTTTATTTTTATAATTATATAGACAAAAAAAAATTATTTAATGATAAATTCTAATTTCTGTTATTTACGACGCGTAGGTGTATAATAAAGTTAATGACATATTTTAATGATAGTTTCAGTAATTTAGAATTTATATCGAAATATGCTTAAGTATGCGACTGGTGTCTGGTATAATATATCAATAAAGAAATTAAATAAGTTTTAATAAACAATTATTTATGTTCCACAAATTTAATACGGCTATATATACATAACGATATTTATTTTTTAACATAGGTAGAAACAAAGTAGTAAAATCTGTCAAAAGAATGAAAATTTAATATTTTTCTTATATTACAAAAAATAATGAATTTTATTATTTGAATAACAATAAATAAAYATAGTTATTCAAGTACCGCTTTTAATGAATTTGTAGTTTAATCTGTAATGTATTTTATCAGGAAATACAGTGAATATAGAGTAGGTACATACATTACTTACAAATTTAAATAGTGTTTAAAATTAAATTTTGAAAAGGTTATTTTATCCTTTTAGGAGAAAACTTCTCCATTAGGTGTAGGTTCTAGTGCAACACAAATTGTTATCTTTAAATTTTAAAAGTTTAACTATTTTTAGTTGTTTATTGCGTGTTTAATCTTAATATAAATTACTTATAGTTTATAATAAAAATTACGTGGATATAATGTTGTTATTTATATTTAGTATAAACATATTTATATAACTTTATTAGTTTCTATTTTGATCAATTAAATTACTTCATGTCTTCATAAATATTCATTTTTGTTTATGTGGTATTTATTAATTATTTCTTTTGAACTTAAAGTACCATTTGAAAAATTTGTAACAAAYGATCTAAGATGAAAAAATAAATTATAAATCTGTTGACCTATAATTGCATTCAGTTAGATAATTGTTAAGAAAAAGTTTTTCCTTTTTACACCAACTTTGTTACGAAACTACCAAAGTAAAATAAAAAATATAACATTTTAATTATCATACTTCAGTTTTATAATTAATATACTGCAACAATCATTGTATTCAGAATAATACGCATGATTCTTTATTATTCGTGCATTAAATATTCATTATAGTAATTAAAAACAAAATATTTTATTACATAACTATGGTTATTGTTAATTTGAATATGATGACAATTTATTACTGTTTATTAAATTATTATCAAAAAATATTTAGTATGATACTAGCTATKTACATTTAATTTGATCAATGTACATAATTATACAAACGAGCATTACGCAAAATCGATTTAATATGTGTAATATTATACTTATCTAGTATTTTAAATGGAATTTACATTAAAAGGAATACTATTTTTTATTTCATTAGCACTGACAATGTTCACAGAATATATAAATAATACTATGCGATTATTAGTAATTAGATAGTAAATATTCATTAAAATAAAAATAAAAATTTAATACGTAGGTAATGACAGAGATGATTTGGCGTAATAATATTTACTTTCGTAAAATTAAAATGTAGGTATTCAATTGATTATATAAATTTGAAATGTGYGATTGTGATTTTCAATTCAAAACCCAAATTTGTATCATAGTTAATTAAATAAATAATAATTTATATAATAATTTAAATTGCGTGTGATAATGCCGTGTCTATTGTCTAGCTGATATGATAGAAGCAAACATTAATTTTACTTTTTGTGCCTGCTGCACAACTAATCATTTTTATATCAGTTTATGATATTACAACAATGTTGTGTTTATAACTTATATTATTTTCTAATTTGAGATTGGTTGTTTGGTTTGAATCTTTTTTTTTCTTAGAAATGTATATAATTACGATTTTTAATTTTTACAACTATAATACAAATAATCTAAAAAAAAATTACTAACGTTATAATGTGTTGTTGTCTGTTGAGTATGCGTCATTAATATGTATATTCATTTATATGATGGTAAACAGTTTGGACCACAAAAAAGTTTGTATTTTATTTTACTACCTACAAAGAAAAATAGYTATTGTTTTTTGTTGCGTAGGTAATGGTAGTTAGTTTTAGCTCATCGAGCTGCCAAGTATACTCGTAGACGTGGTTATAGTATATCGTACGCCTTAAAATGTACAATGTTATATTATTTATGGACAATTAAAATATTCACGATAAAACTTATATTTTAGTAACTTAAACATTTTTATTAGTAATAACTTTTAAATATTAAATATAAATTATAATAATAATAAYCAAAATATTTATTCAGGCATATAATTATTTATTATAATTCGTACAACATATTTCAGGTAAATTTTTTTTGTATTTTAAAAATTACTAATTTATAATCAATATATTCAGTACTTATAATATTTAAATCCTCGGCTAATGACTTTGATGTTTAAGCCGTAATAATAATAATAATAAAAAAAAATATCTAAATGATTCTGTTAAATATTTTAATACTTATATCTCGGGTATATTATTCTCAATAAAAAGGTACGAGTTATAAGTATCTACAAATCACTAACAAGACGGTTTTTGTAACATTGAATTACTATTTATGCAGATAACGGTTTGTATTTTATTTTTTAGGCAATGATTTTCAATATAATATTATCCAATGTATTGCATTTAAAAAAAATAAAAATAAAATTTTATTATTTCATATCAATTAAAAGATTTATATGTTTTAATAATTTAATAAAAAAAGAACAATACTTTATTGACGCATGCAAATAATTGAATAATTTTTATATCATTAACCAATATGTTTATTGAAAATTTAGATGAAAGTTTGTGACCCGCACTATGAACCCCATTCAACTTCTATTTTTAATATTTATTAATAATCAACCATCTTTAATAAAAATATTTATTTTCTTTCTCAAACAATAATTTTAAATATTATGTTACAAACCTTAGATTTCTCAGATGGATTTTAAATTTTGTTCCATAATACCATACAGGGTTAAAGAATTCCAAATTTTAAATGTTGTAGTGTGCCGGTGATGTTTAAAAAGAAATTTATAAAAGCACATTTTAATTATACGTAAAAAAAATATGTAAAAATGTAAACAATATATTTGATACGATTTTATAATAATAGTATTATTTTATTTTATTTATTAATCTCAATAATCTAAGTGCATTACTTTATTCCACTAACGTTGGATGCTAAATTTACTCCCGGTATTATTCGAGTATACCGTCCGGTTTACACCAGTGAATGCAAAAGAT